CCCCATTGTCGTGAAGTTACATTTGGAATTAAGCATGTTTTGTATGAGGCTGAGTATGAAGATGTTGTGATTATGTTACGACTCAACTCAAGTCAGCAACTATGGTCTAGGATTAAGTGGCAACCACGTGCACTTACTGAGTTGAAGACTGGCATCCTACAAGAGTATTCTGATATCACCCATGTGGTTCAAAGCATTGGTAATGGCTTCTCTGAAGCCTGGTTGAAGGATTTTGCTTACAAATGCAATAAAATATATCCAGTGTTTGAGGACTTGTTAGATCATATAGTTTCAACTTCCATGACTGAAATACGTGAAATCTACATGGACTTCCTGGATATGGGGGAGGAGATGAAGAATATGTACAGGAGGAATGAGTTCTATCTGCAAGACATGCAACTATGTGTCAACAAACTTATGTAAGTACTTGGAAGAATTTCAGGTTCTCGCAGCATTGTATGTGAAGATGGCTGTCTTCTGGGTAGCAGTGCTGTGTAGTCTGGTAGAAGTTTACCAACGTTCCAGAGGTGCTTGTTTACACCTTTATTAGGATCATGATGTCCTGATGATGGAGGCAGCAAGCACCTCTGAAACTTTGGTAAATATTTATCATACTACATTGGACTACATCCCAGAAGATAGCCATCTTCATGGAAGTACTTAATTGTTAGGTACAAGTTCTTTATGTAATTTCACTAATCCCAAAATTCATATACAGAACTGTCAGTATGCTACATCTTAAAACAGCAAACTGTTTTATGTTATGAAATATTTTTAATTTCCTTCCCAGTAACCTGCATAAAGGTACAATAATTAATGTTGTACTTACAAAATTAACTTGTACAGAACAACAAATGTAACCAAGTTCCTTTGATATACATTTATCATCAGTTAATGTTTATTTAACAGTGCTATATCAACTGCACTGGCATCTCTACCTGAAACTATATGTGAAGATCATTATGTACCTTTAACTTGTAAAAAAGCAGCTAAGATATTATAAAGTGCTCTCCCTTTGTTAACCTTGAATGTATGGGAACAAAGGATTTAAATCTCCATACTATAGGTCTGCCAGCTGTATTTTTAATCTGGGGTGGTTTAACAGTACCAGAACACAGCCAGGTGGACCATATCTATACTGTGATGCACAGATGAAAAGGTTAATCTGAAAGGACTGAGGGAAATGGAAAACCTCAGTCAAGATTAGCAGTTCTCAACTAAAATTAAAACTTAAATAAAGTCTGATGGATGGTCCACTTCATGAAACAAAATATTTAAACTTAATGGATCTTTAATAAGTTTGCCATTCTAAATGTTCGCACCAAGTAAACATACCAACATGCATAATGACCCAACATCAATCATATAACAGCTGTTTGTCTCCTAAAAAATGAAAAAGATGTTCTATCATATAAACACGGAATATTTTAAAAGTTGTAGTGCAGGGGTGGGGAACCTGTGGCCTTCTAGGTCCTTAAGTGTGGCCTTTTGACTGAATCCAAATTTTACAGAACAAATCCTTTTATTTTTATTAATACATGTTGCAACCAAATATTTAAATGCTTTCCAACAAAAAGCAGACACAACAAAGTCATTAAAATATTAGTTAACTTTAAAATTAACAAATAGTTTTCATTTTTTGAAATTATTAAGTACATAGCAGTTAGATTTTTACAAAATAATGTACATTTTTAAGTATATCTAATTGAAGTTTCTTGAATGCGGCCTTATTTGATTACGTCTAAATTAATGCGGACTTCCAACATGAAAAGGTTCCCCACCCCTGTTGTAGTGTATAAAAAACAAAGAACACACGCCTCATTCATTTCTTCAACAATCTCCTCCTTTTTCAACACATATTAGTCACCTGTGTAATCGAATTTGGAAACATTTTATTAGTTTTGTGCAATTTCAAATTGTCATTCCCTTTGAAGTGTTTCCATCTTTGGTTACAACAAAGAGTCAAATGGATAAGTCACGTAGGGAAGGCAGGAGAATCTCAACAACTTTGTCAGTGAAAATTAAAGATCATAGCAAAAGGACTTCAAACAGTAAAAATATATCTGGCATACTGCGGACTTTTGACAAGAAAGCTTTTATAATGTAAGGGTAACTTGACTTTGGAATGTGCCTCAAGAGAGTAAAGATACTTATTTAAATCCTCCATATAGATATTATTTACACTAAAATAAAACTGTGAACATTTACATAAGGATTAGGAAATTTCTTGACTAGCTGAGTGACTATAAGTTTCTTAAGAAGGACTTTGAATTATGTGGAGCTAGTTGTTAAATCTGTACAAAAAAAATTTGAATTATTTTTCTCTTATTTTGTAGCTGTCACCTGATGACTTTTATATGAATACTTAATGAGACAAACAGAAGAGTTCATACAAACATTCATGTAAAATGGTAGTTTTGTTTAATCAGACCAGTATAAAAGTATCATTTGAGGCCTCTATTTAGATAGCAATTAATATCAGAAAATCACTGCTGATCATGAGAAAATGGTTATAAACACAGGAACATATGGTTTCATTGTTAGAGTATGCATAGGAAAGTCATAGAAGACTAACTGAGGCAAGATTATATACAGTTCATAATTATTTTTGTGATATACAACTCTGAAATATTGTATTGGCAACAAAATTACACATTCATTCAGGTTCATCAGTTTTTAAAGAAGCTTAGTTGCATCCCACATGTTTTTATATTAAGGCAAATAATCATACTGAATACTAATTGATCAGGGTACTAGAGATATGTACAGCCAACAGACATATTTATTTCCCTGAAATGATAACTGGTCAACTGCCCACTTTCTCCACAAACTATCTTCATTGCTCTCTAGCTCCAAGTCCAAGAGCCTTTAATATGGGAATGGTTAGCGGTGAAGTAGAGAATTCATACCAACATATATTCATTCTACAGAGTTTACTGCAGTAATGACGTACAGTACAATATATTACCCATAACAGACCTAACGCTATGGAACAGAGGCCTTCTAGAAGTTGATAGTATGCTCAGCCACTCTAAAAATTCCCTGCCTTTTATGGAACCAAAGTCCATTATCAATACTCATAAGAGCCACTACTGGTGCCTGTCTGAATTAGAATAATGAAATCCACACCTTCGCACCGTTATTAAGATATATTTTGATATTGTTCTCCCATTTATGTTAAGGTCTTCTGCGTAGTATCTTCCCGTCAGGTTTCCCAAGCAAAATATTGTACATATTTCTTATTGCTCCTGTACATGCTAGATGTTTTCCCAACTCATCATCATTGATTTGATCATCCTAATAATGTTTTGTGAAGAGTATAAATTATACATCTCCTCATTAAGCAGTTTTCTCCAGCCTCCTATTATTTCATCCATTTTGGGCCCAAATATTCTCCTCAGTACTCTGTTCTTGAATGTCATCTGTGTTATTTATTCTCTACAGACAAGAAACCAAATTTCACACCCACACAAAGTACCAGATAAAATTATGGTTTTGTATATTTTAATCTTTACGCCTGCATATAGCAGGCAGGAAGACAAAAGATTCTGAGGTGGATGGTAGCAAGAATTTCCTGAATTCAATCTGCTCTTAATTTGTTTGTGAATGCAGTTTTAATCTCTTACTGTTACTGAAATTTCAAGATATACCATGTAATCTTACTGTCATAATGTTTACAGGTCATATGTTACAGAGAAGGCATCAGGAATTTGTCAGGTGCTGCTGGATGGAATGCTAACCATGTACTCTGCAGTAAAACATGTTATTGCGATGGTTGTGAACACATTCCAGATTGATTTTTCTCTTATTTTCAACATCTTAAGTGACATTAAGGTAAAAAGCAGAATCCCACTTTATCATACTATTCATAGGTGCAGATAAATTTTACATTAACATGTGTAGATTAGAGAAAAACAGTTCAGCTACTCTTGAGTTGAGCTGTGTAGACAGGCGGAAGAAGCATTTTTAATATTCTTGACTTCAAAGAACACTGTATATGTAAGATCTGAGGTTTTCACAGTAGTGAGTATAAAGATTTCTGTCTTCTGGGTTGTTGCGCTGTGTAGACTGGTCGATGTTAATATATTGGCATGTATTCATCGCCCTGATGACGGAGGCAGTATGACCTCTGAAACGTTGGTAAACATCTACCAGACTACACAGCACAACAACCCAGAAGACAGAAATCTTCATACTCATCGCCCTGATGACGGAGGCAGTATGACCTCTGAAACGTTGGTAAACATCTACCAGACTACACAGCACAACAACCCAGAAGACAGAAATCTTAACACTGTATATGTGTCAAGTTCTATTTCAATTTAGGCACACCTCTATGAAACCCTATGACAAGCTGGAAGTAACTATTCTATAGTGGATAATATGAAATAGTCACTGAATGCAGTAAATATAAGAAATCAGTCTAAGAAGTTTCTGTCACACCCACATTTCTCAAACCACACAGCACTGGCACACATCTTATTTTTAATCATTACATGCAAAGCAATGGTTCTCGAACTTTGTACTGCTGCAAAACCCTTTTGGCAATAACATATTTTTGCATTACCCTAAAAAACAAGAACTTGTGTTTTTATCTATTTATTTTTAATTTACAACCTTATATGCAAAAATCTGAATTAAATGTACTACATATTTTTGGAAACAGGTTATTGTACTTGCCTAATGTGACAGGTTGACCTGCCTCCTGGCCACAAGTGAATTGAAGACAGACACGATTCTGGAAAGCCACAAGTTGTGTTATGAATTAAGCCTTTCTCGGTTTTTCGCTTTCGTTGCTGCATATTATGAGAAAGCTGTTTCACAAAGAAAAGTATATGAAGATGGAAATGGTTTCGTTACACTTAAAATGTCTTAAAACTCTTCCTTCACTAGTCAAAAACTTGCAGGTTCCACTGTCTGAAACAAGATCACTTATCTGACTTTCAATCCAGTCCGTGACATTTTTGTCAACACGTAACAACCCAAAATCTATTTTATACACGAAGAACTCCACTTTTTCATATACCGTGACAACTGTGATAATCGTACCTTGCAATGATAAATTAAATGCAACTTTGTAAAAAATGTTTTCTAGGTATGCCAACCTATGGTGCCACACAGTTTCACACACAAACTAAAGAGATGCAAAAATATCAACACATTGTTTCCAACTGCGGCCTTTCTCAGTAAAGTATAAGTCAGATCGAATATATTTTCTCCTTTGCCCTACAATACGTAAACGAAGATTTGCACATAAGTATCTCCTCGTGATTGATATATGTGTACCTCGAATGCAAGCAAAATATAAATATCGATTTATCAGCTTGCACAGCAAAACCCCCAACTGCTTTTTTAATCCATTTAATTATCTCACATTCAGTATTACAATTCATGTCCTCGATTATTTTTGAAACTGTGGAATTTAAAAACGAAACGTTTTTGATAATCTTCAATTGATTAACACGAAGCACACATGAAACTAATACAAGGTACGATGGTGTTTTCAGACCACACACAATATGACAGACCACACACATTTCCATTTCTACCTTTAATTACTGATATCAGATTAGTTATAGAATGCTTCAGTTCATCGTGTTTACGACGGTAAACCGCATTCAACATGGTTTGTATGCAAATGCCGCTATAATTTTGCGATTTCTAAACACTCGAGTTCTGTAGTTTCCTTATGTAAACTTCCCGCTTTAGCCAGCGACCCAAGAGAATTAAAGCGTTACATAAATAGTCAACACCACTCTGCTCTGAGTCCTAACGTATACATATGAAATATATTTGAGAAAGTGTGACTTGAAAGATTAATAAAGCATCTGCACCAAGTTTCATTGTTTCCATTAATTTGTTTTAATTTCATTATAAGGGCGCATACATACACGGAAATATTGAAACCGATTGCCCATCTTTCCTTAGATGGAAAATACGTTACTACATAGTTTTGTACAGTGTATTCCTTGTTTTATATAAGACATTCCACATAAAGCTGTTCTAGGAAACACCATCCATGTCAGAGCATTAAGCAGCGCAACCTAGTTTCCTAATTAACTATTTTCTATAATTTTAATCATGATTACTTAAAATGTACTACAGTACTAGCCCGTGTATAATGAGAGTTATACAAAGATTTATCATTTGAATAACATTGTATAAAGCCTTTTCTGTAACAAATATGTGATCAGAATAGCCCAGCAGAAATTCTTCAGACTTTTGTGAGGGAGGTACTCAGATTGAATGTCAGTGTATCAGTTATCTTGACTGAGGCTTTTCTTCTGTGATTTTTCTTTGAAAATGCCCACTTTATACAAACTCCCCCCATACTGACATTCATTCATCTTCACATCTCGTTCAGAATTACATAAACCTCAAGAGGCCCATTCCGCCCATTTCAATTAGTCCTTGTGATTATCTCATGAAGTATCTTCTGGTAAAGCCATTGTATTGTTACATTAGTTTTGTGTACTCATATAATATGAATGAACGTTGAAAATTCCATAGAATTGGAAGCATTCTGATTCAGGAACTGAATTTCTACTTACAGGTTATAGCTAGTAAAACTATGGCATATGTTGTAAACTTCATTAATGAAGTCAAGAGGCTGCATTTGGCTTCCAAGGAGTACCTGAAGACAAAAGTTGAAGTCGCAAGGATGGAAATAATGTATGCAGAGGAGAACATGAAACACCTACTGATACATGTAGAACACTCTCTGGCTGACCTTTTCATAAGGTACATCCAGCTGCTGGAGCCATATCTGACAAGCATTGAGAATACATTGGAACTTCTCAGTCGCAGAGTGATAGATTTTGAGGACAAAATCAGTGGTACGAATACTTTATGTTAGTATAAACAAAAAAAAATTGATATAAATGAAATATTCATAATGTACATATTATTCAAGGTACAAAAAAACAAGAGAGAGAGGCTGCTGTCTACATCAGAGGATCAAACATGACGTGGTTGCATGGTTAAGACGTCATATCCGGTTTCTGTGCTGTCTTCTGGGTAGTAATGCCATGTGAATTTGCAAGTAATTACCAACATTCTGGAGAAACATGCTATCGCCATTTTCAGTCCTGTTGAACTTTCATCCTAATTAAGTAGTACTTTTAATAAACTGCCATGTCCTCATTCATAACCTTGGGGTCCACAAGTTGATAAGAAAGGCTAAATATGGCCCTAGGTCTGAAAAAGGTTGAGAACCCGTTTTACGTAATTCATCAGTTGTAACAGTGATATTTCACCATATGTCTTATTTCCAACAGAATATATACTTGACATGGTGGACACTGTACTTGGAGCTCAGGAGGTGCAGGACTTAATAGCCATGTACAACACGTATTCCTCCTGGCTTGAAGAATTATACCTACAGGATTACATTGATCAAGTCACAAAATTATTTGAGAGGTCAGTTATCCATTTATTCCCAGTATTACAATTAAGTAGTAAAAATAATTGGCTGGGACAGTAGGGAAGATTACATTCTTTTGTGTATCTAATACATCATTACTTGATTACATGTAACCCTTCCTTCTAATATCTAAAATATAAAATTATGCAGACAAACAAAACTGTTTACACTTTACACTTCCTTCTAAGTTTTAACAGGGTCAGAATTGTTGTAAAGTTATAGTACTCAAACAAAGAATGCACAAATGACTGATTAAAAGTTTTGTATATCTTCAGCTTTTGGGTACAGACAACATCAATTGCTGAGTGTTTTGCATTTTGTTGAACACTACAGTTGCCATCTTAAGGGTGAGGGTAGGGGAATCAAAGATCTGGCAATGTTGGCTTGTGTTGCTGATGATGATAGTTTATCAGTGGAGGTATAGGGTAATATGAGAGATACTGTAAAAACATAGCCCTTCCCTATTTTTAAAAAAAATGTATATAATTCAGAGTATAATAGTTGAATCTCTGCTTGGAATTTCTGAATGACTGCAAAAAGCGTAATTTTTAATTTTAATTTCAGCATTGGTTCAGCAATTATGCAAGATATACAAAGGGTATTTGCTGACTACTTGGAATATGTGAACTGCATTACAGATGCAATCAATAATATGTACAGGAATATTAATGCCATTCCATCTATTGCTTACACTAAACATGCCATGAACATTGTTTATGAGAAGGTAAGAATTTATGCATTTTTACTGTTATATACAGACCAAATTTGCTTTAAACAGAGGGACATATCAGTACTAGAACTCCACAGTGAAAGAATTAACTTAATAAACATTTTTATGTTAGCAACAATATCATCCAAGTTAATAAACACTGGTATATTACCAATAATACCATCCATTGTACGAGAATGCTATACTTCAATCCAGTTTAACATGAAGCGAGTTGACTTTCTGCAAACATCACTTTGAACTAAATTGTTCATTGATGTAACAGTATTATACAATATAAATACAGATGTATAATGTAAATTACACATTTGCTAATGTTCCTTAAAAATTGTCCATTGAAATTTTAGTTTAATATGTAAATAGTATAGACAATTCACTGCCACGAAAAATATGTCTCAGGATTTTAAGAGATAACATGTTTTAGGCACCCCAAAGTTTGACGTGTGGGATAAAGAATACTTTCCGTCTGAATACTGTTCAGGTATTTCAACAGTACAGTGATTTTTTTGTGTTTATATCCTGTGCTCATTCCTTCAGGTACAAACCTAATAACCAAAATTTTATACATACATACATACATCTTTATTACATTCCATGGATCCATAAGTTAGTCAGATGACAATAGGATGTAGAATAAGTCATAATAATACAATACATGTTATACAAATACAAGTCATA